CAGCTGCGGCCAATGAGAGAACTCCTTTCATGCTCGCGCCCCTCCCGTTTGGACGAATCAGCCAATGAGCGGCGCGGAACGGTTTTTAAATCCACCACGCTCTTAAACAGTCTGTTTTTTTGTCTTTGCAGAGTCAGTGAACTTAAACACGGTGGCTACAGAGGGGGACATTTAATAGACTCCGTGTCTTCTTTGGGTTTTTATTCCGGGAATTGACATGGCAAAAGGTAAAGTCGCTCAGCTGTTGTCGTTTCAGTACAAGTTGCTCAAGCCTCAGGAGTTAATGTGTAACGGAGCTAACAGCTAATGCTATCCACTGCAACGTAAATACAGGGACAAACTTTAAATAAGCGCAGCAGATGTTTACAAATAAAAGTCGCCGGTATGTTTTTTTTTTTATTTATTTATTTTTTTTATAATGCTTGGTGAATCAGAGCACGGTTTGTTTTGTTTTTGTTCCATGTTTATAAAGGGAAGAAAAATGTGCTGAGAACCGAGGACACTGTTGAACTTAAAGTCGGCTCACGGAAAGAGACAAAGGAAAACAAACCAGCAATTAACAAGGTATGTTTATGTTGTTTGGTTTCAGGCTTTTATGTTCGCTAAACTGAAGCAGGGAAACCGAGTAGCTCTTTCTCAAAGTCCGTGTAAACCACCAGCCTGCCTCAGCTTGGCGTCGTAGCAACGGATGAATGTAACTCAAACACATTACAGGACGCTTCATGTTGTTTATAACTGTGACAAATCAAAGGTTTCTGTGTAGAGGGGTGTACCAATATAGTATAATTTTATATACATGCATGCATACATGCATGCATGCATACATGCATACATACAGCATGGCTATTGCTTTATAGTATACAGTAGAGCTGAAACGTATAAGTTAGGGATGTATACAGTTGTTATTGTTACTAGAGATTAGAGAAACCGCTTAATGAGCAGCACACATTGTACAAGGCTGATTTACAGTGTAAAGCTTTATGCTTTAAATTATAATATATGCCCCCTTTAAAAAAAAACACACTGCCTCTGTTTTTAAAAGTTAAAAAATATGTTTTTAAAAGTTAAAAAATATGTTTTTAAAAGTTAAAAAAAATATTATATTTTAACATTTCTGTACATCTGGCAGTGGTTGGGTATCTGAACACCTTGTTTTATTAATACATTAAAAATTATAATACATGTTCAAATTAAATGGTACTGTTACCATGGAGAGGTTTACCACTCCCAATTGGATTTGAAGCGGTGAAGCAATCTGTGTTTTCTGTTGGATTTAACAGTTGTTTTCTGTTAATGAAAACAATGACACATCAGCATCACTGAACACACACAAGCAAGGCCTTTGGACTTGGTCATTTGGAGCATCACATGCATGATGTTAGTGGGTGGGAGCAGCAGTAAAGACATGGCATACAGTCTGCTACATGGTTCTAAACACATAAAATATGACAATCTCATTTACTGCAGACTGATGAACTCTAGTCAGCTGAAAGTGCATATAACTGCTTATGTCTTGTGAAAAATGTACAGGATGTTTTTCACCAAGATACATCTCTCTGCAGGACTGCGTAGGTAAAGCGCAGTCAAACTTCCCGAGTGTACGGAGTCCAAGCAAACCTAGATCCCCTCTGAGCGACAGTTCAAGCATGTTGATTCAGGAAGGAAACGAATCTGATGCAAATAATCCTGACGTGTCAAAGCTAAAAAAAGGTGAGAACCTAATTACTGTAACTTTTAAACTGTAACTTTGTTTGGTTATGTCTATTATATGTGCTCTCTCAGCTATATTGCTGTTACTCCCTTTGTTATCATATGGTCAGCAGATCCACGTGTACCACAAAAAAATCCTGTGCATGTGAATGGCAGCAGTGTTCGCTGACCCACTATCTTATGACACAACTTAACTGTTGTTTTTTTTTAAAGAACTTCACTCTCTAGATTAAGGTCAAATGTTTAGGGCAGCTATCAACTTAATTATTTTGTTTCCTCCTAATTTTAGACCTACCTAATGAAGCAAAATCTGAGAGTTATGAATCCAAAGAGCAGAAACCTGAAACAGCTGCTCCCTGTCATGGGATGAGAGAACAAGCTGCTGAACAACTTGAACAAAAAGAGTCCGTGATGCACTCGCATGCCAAGTCTGCAGCAGACGCCAAAGTTTCAGCATCCAAGTTTCGGAGTAGAACCGGTCGCAGACTCGGAGCAAAAAGGTGAGTGCAGCAAACATGTCAGTGTCATTAAAAACAACAGAAATGTGCACCATCAAATCTCATTACTGTTATAATGTCTCTTTTCAGGGCAGAGAATAAAGCTCCCCAAAACAGAAAGGTCACTGACTATTTCCCCATCCGACGAAGTAACAGAAAAACAAAAGCAGAGTTAAAGGTCTGTATGAAAAATGCTTCTTCTGGGTTGAATTATGACGTTAATAGATTCTCATTTTATATCTGCAGTTAACATATTTAATGTTAATTTGTTCTTGACTTATTTATTAGCTGGGTTACTTATTATTTATTATATTAGTTATTAAAGTCTACCACAACAGAAAGTTTGACTTTGACCCAATTACTCAAACTATCAACAGAATGAAGAACACAGACACATTGATGACGTGATAAGGAATGACATTGAAGAAGGAATGCAGGTAACATTTAATGGTTTAAATGTATTGTGCCACTCCAAATGTGTTTCCCTGTGTATTGTAACTGTCTGCAACCTACAGTGCTCACATTTGCACACATTACCAAACTAATATTTGCTGGCTTTGCACATTTTCTCTGTAATTTAACCAGGCTGTGATTTGTTTGACAGAAATCACTAACCCAATTTAAGTGGTAAAGCAACCCCTGCACCATTGCTCATTCAGTTACACTTCACACTCTGTTGTTTTTTTAATGTTGACAGATCAAACACATAGAAGGAAAAGGAAGAGGAGTATTTGCTGTCAAGGGTTTCAAGAAGGGAGAGTTTGTCGTGGAGTACCATGGAGACCTACTGGAACTGGCAGAGGCTAAAATAAGGGAGGCCCAGTACGCTCAGGATCCCCAAACAGGCTGTTACATGTACTATTTCCAGTATCAATCTAAAACATACTGGTAAGTCCAAATGTCACCACTTTGAAACCTTATTAGTTTTCAAAGTGGTGACATAGAAAAAGGTCTTCATATTTAATGGACTACGGCTTCTAGTAGGGATATTTGTGACCATTTAACCTCTATTGTTTATGTATCACAGTGTGGACGCTACAAAGGAAACAAGCCGTCTTGGAAGACTTATCAACCACAGTAAAACTGGAAACTGCCAGACTAGGCTTCACCCCATCGATGGCACCCCTCATCTGATCCTGGTGGCTTCCCGAGACATCAAAGCGGAGGAAGAGCTGCTGTACGACTACGGTGATCGGAGTAAAGCCTCAGTCTTGGCTCACCCTTGGCTTAAATACTGAATCCCACACGTGTTCATATTTCAGATTAATTGGTGCTTTTTTCCCCCCCTTTCCTTTTTTTTAAGTATAAAAGATGTTTTTGTTTTAAATGGAGGCTAAAGCTTCAACTCATGAAGTGTATTTTTGCTACAGTTTTTATGACGCTTTTATGTATTTTTTTAAAAACCTAACTGTAGCAGATTGATGCGAGCTTGAAAAGTATTTCTCCTGGATAAGAAAGAAGTGTTTCAAATTGTCCATGGAGTTTCCTTTTGTAATGAATATATTGACAATTCAATTTCACTCTTGTAAATTATTGCCTGTGCTGTAAATTGAGGAATAAAACACTGTTAAGTTTTCATTCCAGCTGTAGCATGGTTAATGGTTGAATTCTACTCATATTATACAATCAAAAAATACCTCAAATAGAAGTCATACATTAAGATTCTGATATGGGACTTAAAGTGTTTATTATACTTTATAATTAAACTCAAAAGCCTCATTACAATGTCACTACAGTAATGTGCTATGTGATGCTGTAGTTTGTGGACAGTGTTACTCTGTCTCTTGTGATTTGTTAACACTGCCATGAGGTCAGAACTTGTAACATCAATGTGAAATAATAACGAAGCTTTTGCATATTCAATCCCAGAAGAAAAACAAACTATTCAAAATGTAATAACATTTTATTATTTAAAGTTGGACTTGTTACTGGACCAACATGTGGCCCCTTGAGGACTTAATTTTGATTTATTAAAAAAATTACATTTTCAAGCCTATAAATAACTGAGTTAATGGATTCAACATAATCCCCAAGAACAGTGGTTACATAATACTTTCCAGTTTCTTTTTATATCTTCATCACACCTTCCATGTAATATATACTGTATATTTCTACTACAGCTATTATTATAAACCATCTTAGGTTAAAATTTCCAGTATAAAACAGTGCTTGTTAGATTGACACATACACATTGTAAAAAAGTCATTAAAAAAGTGGTTAACTGAGAAAATAGTGCCGACAAATCCTGTTTGTCCAGTTCTTGTGAAAGGTTGTTCTTATTTTCGCCTGAATGAAAACCTATAAAACAGAAAAGGTTCAGAGTTAGTTTGTTTTTCTGAGCGCGATGGGTCGAACGTGGAACATACTAGTGAAACTGCCCAGTGCGTTTCATTCAACACTGAGTCACGGCAGACTGTAATTACTGACGGCAGTGAGAGTTTGGCAGACACACTGGAGATTTCCAACTTCTCTCATTCAGCGCTCGCACAAACATCCTCGACGTCGGCATGAATTCACTCGGTCACAAGTATATCATTAGGAGACAGGAGACGGGCTGTGAGAACAATCTCCTTGCTAGCTTACTTCAACATCATGTGGTTGCTGCTGAATTCTTTTCTTGAAAGTTTGCCATCTGAGGTGTACAGCTAAAAATAGTGTGGAGCTAGAAATACGTGTTTTAACTACGTTTGTCTGCAGATTAAATACACTGCATGTATTCAGGGAAGAAATCCTGTTACTCACAGTTTGCCTATGGTTGTCTTTTCCTCTTTTACATCATTTATTGTGGCGGGGCTGTGCTCTGTAGCTGCTGGTGTGTCCAGATCCACTTCCACCATGGCTGGTTCAGCCTGTGGAAGGATCCCACTGCAGAAGAGAGAAGAGCTTTATCGTCACTGAGAAAACAAAATCCACATCATCGAGTTGAAATTATTCTTAAGAATGAATTGATCTTTTCCCTCCTTCAGAACTAAAATGCATTGTTATCAAATATGAAAAGACTAATGGATAATTTCAGCTTTATAACATCAGCACAGGTACTTTCTGCTGCTGATACTTGTGATATCTGCGTACAGGACCAGTGTGTTGGATTCAGTGTCATCTATTGCTGAAGTTGCATTTTCCAACTATTTGAATACAGCTCAGCCTTGTGAGCTTGTAGGAGAAACTACGGTAGCTGCGAAACACACTAAAAACACCCTAACACCGCTCAAAAAGGCAATATCAAGAGCCAGTGTTTGGTGTGTCCGTTCTGCGTTACTATAGAAACGTAGAAGAGGACCTGCTTCCTCTGTAGATAAAAAAAGTCTCATTTTAATGTAACAAAAACACAATGATTCTTATTTCCAGGTGATTATACACTAATAGAAACATACTTATGAATATTGTATTCCAATTTTGCCAATATATCCTCCTAAATGTTGCACACTGGAAGAAGAAAAGTCTGCTTTTCTTAAAACTAGTTAACAACCATGAGTTATTCCTGTCTGTATTTATAAGACTATGATTCTGTATGAGTAATGGCAGATACGGGTCAGATAACACTGGATATTCAGTGTTACCTCCCTAGTGTAATGTTAGATGTGTATTAATATTAATACAGGTTGTCGCAACAGTACAATCTCTCTCAGTCTCGTGGAATTAATTTATCATCTTATAACAAAAACAATTCAGATAAACATTTTCACATTGGTGTTTCCAATTTAAACAATCAAATATTGTACAGCCCTGCAATAAATCATTCTTTTGTGAAGCTTTTAATGTGCAGTTAGTTGACACTGTGTCAGAGAGGTGTTGATTTAACCACATGGTCATATTTGAGGCTGTAGTTAGTGGTGTTGTACTGGATTACATTATAGTGAAGTGCTCAAGTTCTCCTGACAACACATTGCTGACAGATTTTAATATAAGTACACTTTTCAGTATCAGAATCACCTTTGTTGGCCAGGTATGTGTACTCATACAAGGGATTTGATTCTCAATGTGCATACACAGAACAGCACAAATAAACAGGACAACAAGCTCAACAAAACAGACTAAAATAAACTACAATATAATAGTTATATGTATAAACATAAACAATAACATTTGTAGAGAGTAAAACAAAAGGAGCAGAGCGCAAAGGATGTTTATGCACATGAGGTAGGTGGATATGAATGTGCACAGCAGGCACAGATGTGTTTTTAGTGATTATATTTATGTGTTTTCAAAATAAAGCTTCAACAATGAAAAATAAACACTGCCCAGAGACTGTGTCACAGTGATGGCCTTCCAGAAAAAGGTCACATGATGAGGCAGTTCAACCTTTCTATAAACCCTACCATAGAGAGGCCCGGTTGCTCACCTCTTGTACAGCTGGAGCTCCTCCTGAGCCACCATGAGCTGAGCCTTCAGCTGGTTCCTCTCCTGCAGAACCTCCTTCAGCTCCTGCATGGTGAACCGGGGTCTGTTGGGGTCCGTCAGGTCCACCACCAGCTGGTTGGGTCCTGCTGTTTGCTTTGATGGCCAGACAAAGACAGGAAAAGCATCTCTAAACGTCCACTTTATGTCCGACAAAAGGAGGGACTGTAAGACTCACCGTGCCCTGCCCAGAGGAGCTCTCCTGGATGATCCGGTCCAGTTCACTCTTCAAGTTGTCCCGCTCCATTTTCAGCTCCTCCAGGGACAGATTGTACTTGTTGACCAGGGTCTCGAACATCTCCAAAACACGGACTATTCTGAACTGCAGATCCGACACTTCTTCGCCCGTGCTGCTTATTTTCAACAGATCTCGTCCGATTACATAGGAAATGTCATACACATCTTCAACCGTGAGCTCGAAGGCGTCCTTCTCGAAAGCCAAAGCGGGCGACGACTCTTCGCCAAACTCCATGACGGGAACCGTGCAACACCCTTTTAAATAACACCGGAATGAAAAGTTTCCCCCACAAGCAGCTGCTACTTAAAACACCCTTATAAACGCTGTCTTTTCTTTTTCACTCTTGGGTTCAACACTTTTTTTTTTACTGGCAGAAGGTAACTAACTTCCAGAAGAGCAGCACTTCCCCCATCACTCATCCGCCAATGGCGTGAGTCTGCGCACAGTTAGAGGAGGGCAAAGTATCCAAGCGACCAGGTGAGTACAAAGATCTTGTGCGGCTCAAGAGGACTCCCTCAACGTGTGTGTGTGTGTGTGGTGGTGTGACTGTGGGTTGGGTTTTGGTGTATGTGTGTGTGTGCTTGTGTGTGTGTGTGTGGAGCTCTAGTTTTTTAACTTTCTGGTCAAAGGCTTCTTCAGGAGCCGCTGAGAAATCACGTGATTTGGCTCAAAATATTATTCGCACACCATTTTACTGCATTGTAGGTTGTATATGTTATTTCCTATTAAGCTTTTTTTTGTTATTTTATAGTTTCTTATTTTGTGATTCTTATACTTTTTGCACTACATTCCTCTATGCTGCTGTGTCTAATTTGAATTTCTCCTATGGGGGATCAATAAAGTATAAAGTCAATAAAATCTTATTTTCTAATTTTTTCTCTCGTAATTGTCTGTTAAATTATTTTATATTAATTGGAGTGAAATGACCAAGATTCCTGCCAACACGAAGTAATGTCTACATAAAGCTATAAACTATAAAAACTGAAAAAGTATAGTGAATAGAAAGTAATCAGTGGAAAATTAATTTTAAGCACATGAACATCTATCTTATTTGTCTTATCTGCCATATTAGTATTTTATAGTAACACAATAACAACATCAAAAAGATGAAAAATAAAACTTTATTTTAAACATTATTTTACAGATGCAACCCATAACATATTGCATAGTTTTTACAGTACTCATTATTGTTGGAATAGGTTTCTTCTGGTGTTTTTACCAGTATGATTGCACTAGTGTAACCCACAGAGTGTGGCGCCACACTGTTGTGCTGCAAGTATACAGTAACATCCTCTTTTCATCAATTCAGGGTATGACTGGCAGTAAGCACATTATTTCAAACAGAAGGAACACGATCATCAATCTTATTCACGCACCTTGAAACCAGACTCATAATTTGCCATCAGATCTTAACCTCATATAAACATAAATGACACAAGAGACTGCTAAGGAACTTGAAAGTGCTTGTGAAAACTCAGTTGATACTCTGGGGAATACTCCATACTGTACTGCAGGTACAAAACTAAACTGGTGAGCAAATCCTGTACACTATATAGCAGAGTAACATCATGTTATTTGGACGCAGTGAGAAACTTGGGCACTCATTTGACATTACAGCATTACAATTAATAAAGCACAGCTTATATAAAGTGGCGCACTGACAGGTGATGACATTTTATAAAGCCTGAGAGCTCATAAATACACATAAAAGAGGCCGGTCATGGCCAGTTGTCTTACATTTGAATTACTAAGGTAGATTTAAAGCGCTTACAAAGTTAGCTAAAGCGCTTACAAAATGTTTAGTAAAATTAGACACCAGTGTTTCATCCATCAAAGTTTCATCAGTTTCATATACACCATACAGATTGAGTTTAAAATAATAATGCAGCCATTAAACACATTCTTGTCATTATGTCTATTTAGAAACTGTGTTGAGAGAAACAAACTGGTGGTCGGGAAAAATAAGAGCATTCCTAAAAGAAGAATTTAAACTTGAGGTCATACAGAGCAAACAAGTCTTCTGATTGGCAACAACGTGGGGTCGTCTGCAATCAAACCGGCTGCCACCATCGGCATTATGGCAGTGAAGATCCTGTCCAGAGATAAAAATGGAAATGGTGACACGAGGGAAACTTAGAGTTAGAGAGACATTGTTGTGATCAGTAATTACATGGTTTGTGACCCTGAATGAACGAGAGTGACGCTCGTTATTGAAACCTTACAATACGAAAACAAGCACTATTTATTTTTAAGTTTGTAAGAATATGAATATGAAGATAAATTACATCCATAGAGTATCACAGGAGAAAATAAAACAGGGCCGTTGAGTGCTGCCCCCTTTTGACAAAGTGCAATGGTAAACCTTGGTGTATGAAGAGACGTGTGTGAGGGTCTTGTCAACCCCATTACTCACAGGCGTCTAATTCCTGATTCAGGCTGATCAGTGAAACTGGAGCATGGCGGAGGAGATGGAGCACAGATAACGGAGCAGACATCATCCTCAAACTCCTCACTGAGGGACATGGAAGAGATTAACTTTTGCATCAGTGTTTTGTGCAATTGAGGTTACACAAAATCTAAATTTTGGAAACAAAATGTACCTTTTGTAATATGCCAACTCTTCCTGTAGCACAAACACTTGGGCCTTGAGTTCATTCCTCTCCTGCAAGACGTCCCGCAGCTCCTGCAGGGTGAAACGGGGTTTGTCTGGCTCCTCCTCCAGGCTGTCTGTCTCCTCCTGTGGCTCTGTATCAGTTGACACCTTCTGCAAATCAAATCCCACATTCAGCATTTCTCCCTGGACAGCATGGACTTGACCCACTTAATGAAACAGGTAGCTCAGTAAATCTTCAGTAGGGTACCAATCATAATATTTGTTCCTGTTGGTGAAGGTCAATTGATTTTGAAAAGATGCCACCATGAAGGACAACAATAAAAGAGAAGAAAAACACTGTACGCTGATGTAAACCAAGCAGATTTAACATGGTAGGACAATGACCTTAAGGACACACCAGCATGACAGAGAGATAATGCTTTGTGTTTTATATAAACAGTCTTACAGTGGGCCTCTGCTATAACCACATTAGAGCGTGTACAGCTGAGAGTTAAGCAGGCGTTACCAGAAACAATGCTGTTGTGTCCTCATCAAAGTCACCGTCTTCCTCGTTTTTTTCTTCGTTTAACGACCTCGGGAGAAGGGAAGGACTCTTGTCACACTCGAAGCAGTTTGCCAGGAAGTCCGGGTCGTCTCCACACTCCACCCACACTGACTTTGGTTTGATGGTGGAGTTAGATGGCGCTACTACAGGAGGCTGGATTGATAACACAAAACATCCACTTCAGTACTAGAAAACCTGATGGCCAAACATAGTTTCCACCTAATTCTATTTAAGCATAAGTCCTATTTCTTACCGTCATCTGTGGTGATGCAGGTGACGACATCCCAGATCTGGAAAGAGATGTTTCTTCTATGTCAGCGACCTCTCTCTCCAGTTCCCACCCCCGGAGCTCCTCTCTCAGTCTGTTGACCTCCTGCTGCAGAGCCCCCAGCTCCTGCTGCTGCGCCTGGGCTGTAGCTTCCAGCTCGGCCCTCTGCTGGATCAGTGCCTTGCCCTGAGCCTCCATCACTCCTATCCTGTGACGGAGGTCCTGGTTGATTCTTATCAACCGTTGCTGCTGCATCTGGAGCTACAGTTCAGGAGATGTGTTTAATGACCTCACTAAATCTGGTCGAAGGAAGTAAAATGTACAGATAGTTGGTCAGATGCCGGTATACGTGCTGTATATGGTCTATACCCTCACCGCCTCAACATCCTCGTTTTTTAGCGTCAACTCGTGGTCTTTAGCCCGGATTTCATCCCTCTGCTTATCCACCAAGTCTTTCAGTTTCTTCATCATCTGCCTCTCCTTCTCTGACATTCCTGTCGGTATCATTAAGAAAGCACAAAAACAATTATCACACATGCAACATTAATGCAATCTAACAAGAGCCTGCCATGACATTTAAACTGTTGGAAAATCAGTAATGTGTAGTTTACAGAAATATTCTGGACCTTCAAAGCCTGAATACTTACAGGGGCTTCCTCCTCGTATTCATGCATCTGTTACACCATTAATGTATTTTACTAGACTAATAATGTGTCAGCAGATTAATCATATCATGCAGAGCCCATTCATTTGAATGAACATGTTTTTATAAGCAGTGTATGTGTGTGTGTGTGTGTGTGTGTGTGTGTGTGCACTGTGGCCCTAACAGTAAGTGTAGCTGCAGCCACCATGAAAGTCTCACACAAGAACTATATTTTGCTCCGCTTCAAAAATAGTCTCCTTTACAAGCTCCTGACTGCGTCTCTTCACGGCCTCCTTTTTCATGTCAACAGGCAAGCGTGCAGCATATACTGTACCACGTGACAACATAGGGTAAAAATATGTGTAACATACAGCAGATGGTTAATCAGCGCAACACGAATCTGCCAAGACCGAACTTACTTAGTGTCCAGAGTGATCACAAGATACCGTTCAACACATCATGCATGACTAGACTTCAAAGAGCCACAGACAACAGACCAGACTGTGTGACTTAATATACACTATGTACATAATGTATTTGTAATCTTCTGAATATTTGCTGAATATATTGTTTATAATCTGTATTACCTTCATATTTTTCACAATACGTTGTTTTTGTTTATTGACATTGGTGCATTCTGATCTATGTGTTTAATGTCTGCCTGCAAACCAAATTCCCTTTAGGACAATAATTGAGTTGAAATGTATTATATAAAAATGTATGTAAATGTATATATTATAAATGTATGTACAGTTTCTCTCCTGAAACTGGTTCTGAGAGCTCAACTCAGGCTGTCTGTCCATACGAGTACCAATCCCAATCATCTTTAGGTTATTCCATCATTAAAGTTAAAGAAAAAATGAATTGACATAACAAAAGTGTAAATAATGTTCTATAAATGATCTTAAAACCTCCCAAAACTCACCCGTTGTGACCGGGTTGCTGCAGACAACTCACCTTCCTGTTTCTGCAGGTCTTCCTCTATGACGGGGGACTCTTTGAGAGGCAGGCTCACTAACAGCCTCTTGTTCTCCGTCTGAAGCTGAGTGATTTGTGAAAGCAGGTCCTGGACTTCTCCTCTCCACACGTCCTCCACCACCTCCAAATCCTGAACATACAAGACAAATATATATATTTTTAAAAGGGAAAAGACACAAAGCACAATCTAATGTATTTTTATTAGTTTGAAACAGATCAATATATATACCTGTGAGAACATACAACACCTCCTCACTTCCATATAATGTCTATCACTTTTAATCATACGTTATTTAATGTTTAAAGTATACCACACATTAATTAACTGCTCCCTAATAAATAGAATAAATATGAAAACAAATGTATGTAATAAATAGTATTGTGTGTGACAGTTTACCACACAAAAATGATCTAATGTACTCTAGTATAATATAATAATATAGTCATATGTATGTATATATTAGTGATGGGTATTTTATGCTCTTAATTTTGTATCTTTAAACTGTTTAGATTAGTTTTGCAATATATTTTATCTGCCCTATTGTTGGCACTTATTTTTACTGATGGGGGTTTTATTCTTTTAATTTTACCTCACTTTGGTGTGACTTTATTTTGCCTTATTGTGTCCTGAAATGTTTGTAAGGCACTTTGTAACTTTGTTTTGAAAAGTGCTGTATAAATAAAGTTTATTATTATTACTATTACTATATAATATCTACCTTATTTAAGGCTATCACATATAGTTCCAGTGATGGCCGTAAAATTAATCAATGATAGATAAATTGTTAAGCAATTTAAAAGTAAAACATCTGCCCCTCTATGTTTGATCAATGTATTATTGATTACTTGGTGTGTTTTCACCTTTGGTCACACAAAACAAATGTTGTTTATTTAGTTTAAAATGTCAAAAATGATCTATTGGCTGTATAAATGTGACTTATTTACCTTGAAAGGTCACAAGCATCTATAAACACACAGCGGCAGACAGACAGTCAGTAGACGATTCCAGGATAGACAGATCAGGAGAGACAGGTACACAGACAGGTAAACATGTCCAGACCAGACAGAGAGGAACAGACAGACGAGACCAGCACAGACAGACAGAGGAGAGAGACAGACAGAGAGAGCAGAGAGAGACAGTAGACACGCAGGTAGACAGACAGACCAGGTAAACATCCCAGGTATGGCACAGACAGACAGAGAGACAAGGTAAACATCCAGGTAGACAGACAGACCAGAGAACAGGTAAACAACAGGTAAACATCCCAGGTAGACCAGACAGACAGAGAGACAGGTAAAGACCAGACAAGACGGTACCCAATAAACATCCCAGTAGACAGACAGACAGGCACGAGAGACAGACAGGTAAACACGACACGGTAAACATCCACGGAGGAGGGGAGCAAAGAGCCAGGATAGACAGACAGACAGACCAGACAGACCCAGGTTAGACATGAGAAGACAGGCAGGCAGAGAGACCTTCTGGTGCTTCCTCTCCTGCTTGTATCTGTCGCTGCGCTCCTGCCGCAGCCTATCCAGCTCCCTCCGCAGCTCCTCGGCCTCCTGTCCGGCGGCTCCGCGGCTCACCAGCGCCTCAAGGTGCTCCAGCACCCGGACCACTTTGGGCACCACCCCGACCAGAGACTCGCACCCGAACCGGTCGATGGTCCGCTCGAACTCCCGCCCGAGCACCGCCGCTATGTCGTACACATCCATGACGGTCAGCTCCGCCGCGGGTCTGTCCAGCGCGGACATAACGCAGGTTTCCATGTCTTTTTGTCTGCCTTATTTAAATGCCCAACATTAAACGTGTGTCTGGTTCCTCTGACTCTCTGAATAGACTCACATTTATTGTAGAAAAGCTGGTTCACACAAGCGAGCAGAGGCGTGTGCGAACATGGAGACGACTGGTTTCAGTTTGTTGACAGTTTAAACTTAACTAACGTTCACAGCAGTGCTGCATTCAATAGCCTCGCAAAAAAACCCGTACATGTCACTATTCATCGTTGATAAATACCACCACAGCGTTTATGTTCTAGTCAAATAATAGCACGGTTCGTTCGGGTTGCTGTGACCTACTGTTTGAATCAAGCTAAACGGCAAAGTGCTATATGTGTTACCTTATACCATGTTCCGCCGTGTTCCACACATCTTATATCAGTAAAGTGGAGAATTACAGTCGCTCCTAAAGGCAGCAGCTCTTTCCACGTTGACTCAAAGTCCTACTGCGCATGTCATGATATTACTAGTGTATTACCTTCTATGTCCAGCAATGCTTTTAAAATATCCCAACACTACTTGGCACTTAAGTTACAGCCAGTCTATAATAAGAAGTAAATAAAAATGATTAAATTGTATACAAGTAGGCTATTTATTATTTATTATATTTATAAGTTTCTGCATTTCTTGGTAGGAATATTTTATATTTAGATATGTTTATCTACCAATACCTTACCAACAGCTCTATTATTAAGTGTGGTTTATGTGTTAATGTTGATAAAGTCTTTGAATTTTTCATAAGCTTGGAACAAGATGAATCAACACAATGGGACATTAAATCAAACATTTATTGTTCATTTGTTTGACATTTACTCTTCTTACAAGGAGAAACCACCATTATCTTTACTAAAATATATTAATAGATCTGAGTGTATAAAGACATTTCGTACTGAGGAAAGACAGAACATAAAAAGATGCATTTTAAGACCCTGTAAGAAAAGCGCCCAAAGGCATAGAGGACTTGAACACCTTCATATAGTACAATAACTAACCCTAAATGTTCATATTCAGCCTAAAAGAAGCATGTGATAATTAAGGACGCCTACATCTGATATTTGTGTGCAAGTGTTAAGACTATCTATATGCTTAACCATAACATTCTAGGTGCTCCTCTAATAAAGGGACATTCAAGAGATGAGTGTTGGTATAAATTATACTTGATGCGAGTTGCACACTCCTATACAGACTGTATGTCTTTACATGTATTATTCAATGCATTAGTACAGTACATTTCAAGGCCTCTGAGTGTACTGTTGAGAAAGAAAGCTGATTTCGCACATGAAAGGAACACTGTCCATCATGAAGGCAAAGCCAGAGGTATGTAAAACTTGTGCAGTAACATGGACGCCCACGATGTGATTCCCTAGTTTCCTTTACCGCCCACCACAACATAAATAGCATAGAGTGTACATTGAGAAAAATGTGATGTGCTTTGTAATGAACGACGTAGTGTGCAAAAAGGTTGTCCAAAGATTGATTAAAACTATTGACAAGATACGCTGTCGATTTGTGATTATCTTCAAGGTTTGTATTTTAAAAGCAGCAGCAATGCTTGATCATCTAAAGTTGTGATGCAGAAAAAAATACTTTACTCAAACAGCCTAAAAGTATCCCATCAACCTTTTTGGTTCTTGTTGCCAAGAATTAAAATATAAAGATTTCTGACTGGGTGGTATGTGAGTGCATCCTTTAAAAAAAAAGGTTGGGGGGGGGGGTAAAGACAGCAAATCCTTTTACAGGCATCAAGGGTCAAAAATGGTCCATTTGGCAAAAAAGAAGAATACAATATATAAGGAATGAGGAAAGGAAAACAGTGAGATGCAGGATGAGGCAGAGGATTGTCAACATTTAACTTAAAGGAATTGCATGTTCACAAAAAGGCAATCTTTCTCTGGTCAATCCAACCATCTATTAGTGTAGCCTCTTCCTTTTCTGCTCAGCCATTACTTAAACTGCAACACACAGAAGAACAGAGACAGATTAAAAGATCAAATTTAATCTTATTTTCTCATATACAACACAAAGCCTCCCCCCACGGCCCTTACCATGGTTTTGGGTGGTATGTTGGGTTTCTGGGCCACTGTGGGTTTCTTCATGAGAGCAGGTTTGGTGGGTTTCGGTGACATAGTGACAGGATTGGGCAGCGAGGTGGTTTCGCCGTTGCCCTCAGACTCCATCTCCAGAGGAACTCCGGCCAACACGTAGTGCTTCTTCCTCAGCTCGCCCAAACGCAGACGCTCGTTCTCCAGGTGACTTTCTAATTCCAGCACCTTCACCTGAGCGGCGGGAAATAAACAGGTGATTATCTATGGTCAGAACTGTTCGGGTTACATTTAGTTCAATTTAACTTAATTTAATGACTTCCACCATGTCAAATCAGTTGCGTGTCAAGGTTATTAATGTGAACTGGGAAAATAAACCAGGTCATTGCAGAAGTATTAGAGCCTGTGCTTACGTTTAATCTTGCAGTGTTAAAATAATAAACTAATAATAGACAATTTGACTCATCCTAGCAACATGCACTGCAAGAATCTATGTGAGCTCAATATTAATAGAAATATGACATGACCTTTTACATTTGAGAGTTTAAGTCAATGAGTGAATGTTTTCAGTATTTGAGATATAAAGTATCAAAAGTAAGACACATACTGCACACTTAGGCAATCCCTCTTTAAACCCCTCGCAGTCCATGACCACCATTTACCTGTGACTCCATTTCTTCTTTTCTCAACTTAATAAGGGACATCCCAGAGAAGTCCATGGTATCTGCGCATGAAAACAGTTATTAGAAAGATTGTCATCAGAGTCTACAATGACCAAGTATACAGATCAAACTGTACTCACCTTTTTCCTCCAGGTTCTCCTGACCCGTCCGTGTTGAGGCCACCACATTAGCTGCCATTTCATTCACGAGGCGTGAAGCCTGCTGGAGAACTGGCAGCTTCTTACTGTTGCGATCTGCTTTAACCTGAGTGCAGAGGAGAGCGCATGAGTGAATCCAGATGACACAGTTTGGACACTAAATCAACAAACTCATTCACAGAAACCAATTACACAGTAAGTGTGCCACTGAGCGTTGTACTAATATGTGAGAGAGTTACATTAGCATAACAAATTGCTTGATAATTAAATGTAATACAGTTAATTTGCACTCTCATGTGACAACACATCGAACTCCTACCTTAGAAAAGTGGAGAATATCGTTGTGTCTGATATTCATACTTTGGTAATTAGCATAATACAATGTAGTTAAGTATCTGAAAGGTTTTTTATCATTTTATACTTGGAAATTAGACCATTACCTTTGAGGCAGCAACCAGCTGTGCTGTGCTAGCAGCGATCTCGTGGGAGCAGACAATCAACTCCTCGTATTTGCCTGTGTGCAGCACCACCTTATCAGCAGACTCCCTGTGATGAAGCAGGTGAAGACATAATACCACTTAAATCCACTTAACTGGAAAGGGTACAGCTCTGCCCACTGGCTAATGGCTGAGTCATTTCAGATGCCACACATAACATTTTAACATCAATAAATTATTTGCTCTGTTTAAAGTAGTGGTTATAAACATAATAAAACCATTAAAGCCATCAGCAAGAATATTGCTATCCTCTTGTAGCATTTACACGGCCTATACATTTGTGCATGGGTCAGAACTAACTTAAAATACCCCACATTTCTGGGTCCCATGATTTTTTGACCAAATGATTTAGGGGGCCCAGAAACAGCCCAGACATGTTTAAAAATGCTACATGAAATACATTTAATAAAACGAGAAAATAAGCTATATTCTCCTGTATAACTTACACCATCTCTGTGGCTCCCCATCCTACAGCTTTGGCAGCAGAGATGAGTCCCTCAGTCCAGCGAGAGTTTCTGGCATAGAACTCCTTAATGGTGGCTGCACCCTTAACAAGCAAAACAATAGCACTGTTAGTCCCCATTTGTTGTTTTCTGAATGGAGCAGAACAAAAGCTGCTCAAGTAACCAAGCTGCCACTTCGGGATTCAAAATTAGAACAGCGTGACTCACCCTCCCGCCCTCGACAATCTCCTTTTGCAAGTCTGTAGATGCTATGATCAGCATGCGGATGGCCTATGGAAGAATGGATGATTACAGAAGAGAAACAAGAAATTAAAAGGACATTAGGACATTAATTAATAATAGGATATATGTAGGGTAGACTATGGCAAAACATATCAGTTGAAACACATCAAACTACTGTACCTTCATCAGGTCTGTGCAGCTGTTGAGGATTCTGTAAGAAAGAGTGAAAGAGAAGAGTAAAAACACAATGTATGCAGCAATTTATAGGTTGTTTTCTTTAGTTAACAACATTAATTAAATAATAATATGAAAGAAACAGGTAACAGAAAGAATGCATTTAAGTATTATGCTTTAAGAATTCAGATAAGAGAAGATAAGATGATAAGATGTTCCTTTATTGACCCCCCATAGGATAAATTCAAGTTTGGCACAGCAGCACAGGGGAAATGTAGTGCAAAGAGCAAATATGATCCAAAAATATAATGAAAAAAAGAAAAGATATATAATAGAAATCTAGAATATAAGAAATATATACACTATATACAATAAAGTTAAACTGTACATGTGCAATGTTACAAGGTAAAACAAAAGGAAAAAAACAGAACGGCAGCCTCTGCAGTTCTCTATCAATTACAATTATTGGTCTCATGAGAGATTTATAAAACTGAAAGACACCCCTGTTACACCCCCAGTCTGATTTTATTTACATTTACAAGTTGATGTTTAACTAATTCAGATAAATAAAGTCCCAAAAAAGAACAAACCTTTCATTGACCTCCAGTTTTACTCCTGTTGTGTCCTTTCGTGCCTGATTCATCATTTCCTAAACACAGAATCATACATGATAGTAATCAGTTACAATAAACATACTGTACAATATCAGACAGATAATATGAGTACATCTCAAACTAACATTTACACCACTTACGTCTATCCTGCGGACTGCCTCCTCAATAGCTGCTGATGTTGCAGCCATTTCTTTATCGACCAGATCTCCCAGCTCGTCCTGCCGAACATCCATGCCTTTTGGCCGCAGCTCCTGCATATAACAAGAGCAAAGATTATTAGTAATGATAAAAGAAAAATACAAATGAAAAGACATAAATCAGTTAAAACAGTTAAA